ATCATAGTTGGTATTTTTGATTACTTCGAATATTATGCTAATAAGATGCTAAATTAAGCTAAGAGTAATTGCTAAAAGGTTTTCTAATAGGTTAAAGAGGCACTAGGGAAGTGACCCGCTCCTAGGTGGATATTTGACGGATTCTCAAGTCTAAGGCAAGGATGTTATAATGGGGATTACGATATAACCAATGCACGAAAGTTCTCACTCTATACCTCTCGGTAGTTTGAGTGATTTTGCCCGAATTGACTTTCTCAAGATCAATTGGGTATTACAATTGAGCAAGCAATTGAGGTTCAAGTCGGGTATTACTATCTCTAGGTTTAACCCTTTAACTGGGGCTATCAGTCTCTTGAATACGCCCCAATTCCTTGTTGGACCAATAGACTCAAGTTCTCTTTCTCAAGAAGAACTCAAGTCACGAAGGCACAAATTAGTGTTTGCAACCACTAATTCAAAATGGAAAACATAAATTGGTCCAAATATCAAACACCCATACACATTCAAGCCTTAAAACTTAAGACCCATCAAATACCCACACTAGGGTTGAGCCACAACCCTAGCTAATGGGTCTATCTACTCATAATTAGGGAAGAAAACAAGAAATTAGATGAAGAAATAACCATAATAATTAACTACAAACTAAGATAATAGAGATTCAGCGTATTAGTAGCCCAAAATTACTCAAAAAGGAATAAAAGACTCGTTCACGTGCTCAGCCCCAAGTCAGATTACAAAAGATGACCTAAAAATGTGAAAACAAAGTATTTATACTAGGCCGAATTTTCTGGACAAAAATACCCCTGCGGAGGTAGTGCGGTCCGCACAAAATCGAGTGGGGCTGCAGTGAGGCTTCTTGGCTTTAAACTCTGCTCTCTGAACTTAGCCACCGCGGGCCGCATAAAATGCACCGCGGCCGCGGTGGCTTCTGTTGCGGTCCGCATAAAAAGGACCGCGGACCGCATTGGCAATTAGCTCCAAATCTTCAACTATGAGGCCAGTGCGGTCGGCACGAAATGCTTTGCGGCCGCACTGCTTGGGTTTCCGGAATCAGCACTCTCTGAATCTCCTCACTGCGGCCGCAATCCATTTTGTGCGGTCCGCAGTGGGTCTTGTTTCAACTGTGCTTGGACTTGTCCTTGTACTTGTGCATGTTTCACTCCTTTTGAGTTGATTTTGACTAGTTGTCACCTTTTTTATCAAACCCTGCAAACAAGTACGGCATATAAGCCTTTGGGACTATTTTGTATACATTTTTACTCAAAACTCAAGTGAAAAGGAGTGTAAAATGAACTAGAATCCCTAGTTATCAGTGGTGGGTTGGCTTTTAAGTGGAACAAATGAAATAAGGAGAAAGTGCACCGTATGAAGAAAAAAATGTGTCAATAAAAGCCATTTGGATAGAAAAAGAAAAAAAAAGCCATTTGGATATATATATATATATATATATATAGTAGTTGTAGTGTATGGAAAAAGAAATTCCTGATGGTGGTGGTTGTTGATGTATTGGTGCTTAAAGAAGTAGGGGGTAAAATATAGTGAAGTAAAGGTGGAATTTTGGTTTGACATAAGTATGGGCTTGAAGGTTAAAGTGTTTGTATTAAAGTGCTTAAGGGAGGTGTAGTCACTTATATCCAAATGTATCCTACCCGACCCGCAGCCTAAATTACAACCGATGAAAGTCCTATTTGATCTTAGACTGGATGAACTCGATTAGTGGAGTATTACACTACGAGCAAGCTTATGGTACGTCATTTGGGGCATATGAATGTTATTTCTGAGAGCGAGTGAATGTTTTCTATCTTGAGTTCCTACGTTATTAAAATTAATTGTGTGTGGAACTAAGCTCTTTGATTGGGTGAGAGCACATGACTCATAAAGGAAAGGTAATGTTGTTGACCTCCGTGTTAGAGTAAGTAAGCGAATTGTGAATAAGGCATGGTATTTGTGAGTCGATTATTGAGGCGAGGATGTCACACATTTGTGCTTAAACTATTTTAAAGATTCTTGGTATAATGAGTTAAGGGAATTGCTTAATAGGTTGTGTCCATGAGTGCAGTTTGATTGCTCGAGGACGAGCAAATATTTAAGTGTGGGGTATTGATGTGTGGCTATAATTCATGGTTTAGCACATTATGTGCCTTGAATTTTACATGCTTTAATGATAAATTACACTTTGTTTGAGCGTAATGGAGTCTATTTTATGTGTAGGTGAATTGGAGATGAAATTAGAGCTAAAGGGATACTTAAACGTCGAAAGTGCGCTCGAGAACGGTGAAAAGGAGAGGCCGGGCAAAAGCCAGCTCGACTAGGCTTTAGCCTGGCGAGGCCACCCAAAGGCCAGGCTCAACCAGGCGTTAGCCTGGCGACGCCAGCCTAAGGCCAGGCTGAACCAAGCTTTAGGATGGCGAGGCCAGCCAAAAGCCAGGCTGAGGCTGGCGACGCCAGGTCCAGTCCGAGTTTTGAAGACTTAAATTATTTCCCGGCTTGACTAGGATTTGACCTACATGTTTAGGGCTTGTCACAAACATATAAATAGACCCAAAAATGCCACTTTGAAGGACTTTTGCGACCGAAGGCAAGAATAGCTCGTGGAACACTACTTGGGAGTTAGAATCATTGATTTCTACATCCCTTTATCATTACTCTGTATTTTAATTATGCAAATTACTTTGGATATTGCTACTATGAGTATGGGTAGCTAAACTCCTAATCTAGGGTTTTGATGGAACCTATTGGAGGATGATTTTCTTGTTACGTTAATATAGTTTTGCTATAGTATTCTCTCTATTTGTTCAACTATATGCTTATTGCTGTTGATTGAAGGGCCCTCAATTAACTGTTCCTATTTAGTATGTATTAATCGGGAGAGAGTGCATATTTAGGTAGTTGTTGAACAACATCACTCCTAACGTATATGAGGAATCAATACGAAGGGTTTAAAGGTGGGATTAGAGATAACGAATCCTTGGTGCGATCTAAGTGAGCTGTACTTAAGGCTAGCTAGCGTAATTCGGGAGAATATGTCTAGTATATTATTGTAATTACTCGGGAGAGAGTTACGACAGTCATAGGTCTCATGATCGATAGAGAAGACTTAGGCAAATTTATAGAAAACGTAGCGGAAAGGATTCCGACAATAGGGGAAATCAGAACCTTAGATCATTCCAATTCTTGTCTACAACCAGTTCGTAGTTAGTTCTTAATTATTGCTTTTTTATTACGTAATATTTAGTTAGTAAACATCCAATCTATTACTCAAATATTTCCGAAGATTGAATACGTGAATTTGTGTGAGTCCAACAGCTGTGATTGATAGGTTAATTCCCTGTGATATTCGACTCCGGACTTGTTAATCGAAATATATAATTTGCAGCGACCTCTTTGTCCTTTTTATAAGGCATAGTTAGGCGTGATCAGCAACATATTTTGGAAAATTGGAGAGTCTAAGGTACTTGAGTTCTACAGAACTTGAGGTTACTCATGGCACGCTCAAGTTTGAAGATCTTGGTTTAAGGGAGGCTGTTGGAAATTAAATCAAGATTAATTAGTATTCCTAAGATGTCTAGGATTTGGTATTTGATAGTTTATTTAATTCATGTCTAGTTAGGTTTTGTTTACCAATTTTATATTGGAATAAGTTTTTGGTTTTGTAGTACTATAAATAGGGGTGCTACTACATATTTTCCATTGTGGAGAGGTAGCTACGATGTAGAGAGATTCAAGAGTTTATGAGTTGTGAAAAAATCTCCTACCAAGTTCTCTCCCTAGATTAATAAATTTCTTCTATATAACTTTTGCTGAATTTTTTGCTTGTGCCTAAATTGTTCTTCGGGGTATTTTACCGATAGGCTTAGTAGCATGCATTTCCCTTCATATTCTTTGATTTTTATCGGTATGTGGTTTTGTTCGCCTCAGGTATTGTATTTCGTGTTCCTATTATTGGATATTGTTTCCTTCCTTGCTTCCATCTTCTTCTTCTTGCCCTTCCTGAGCCGAGGGTCTATTGGAAACAACCTCTCTACCTGCATTAGGTAGGGGTAAGGTCTGCGTACAGACTACCCTCCCCAGACCCCACATGTTGGTATCAAACTGGGTTAGTTGTTGTTGTTGTTGGTATTTGAATCCTTCATGTCGATTTAGCATCGAATACGTACCATAACAAATAGGAAGGAAAAGGGTTGGTAGAAGGATAGAAAGAAAAAAATACACACACTGAAATGACTCAAGCAAGGAGGAAATTTTTTTTCCGTCGAAGGATAATTTAATTAATGACTCGAGAAAACGAATTCATTTGGCAGATTACAATTTTCAACCGACTTATATGTGCAGCAGAAATGGGTGAAAAACATTTAAGGCTGATTGAGGTCGTTATCCACCATTGCCAAACACATTGTCTTGACGAATAAATTGTTAGGAAAAGAATATAACATGTGAGGCCTAATTTTCTGTTTTGTCCAAGTGTGCAGACAGGATCTGATCTGGTGAATTCCACCGTTAGAGAAAGAAAAGAGATTTTGTTCCTCTTGTTTATTTAGTAAAAGCAGTATTGCTTAATTCATCCTTAATAGGAAGAAAGAGAGTTCCATAAGCAAATAAATACTATAAAGCTCGTTACAATTTTATTTGTGACAACCTAGCTATTGTGTGTAGTTGGAATATCCAATATTTGGTTAGATGGAATATCCATGATTTTAATTTGCGTGATTTAGTGCTCTTATTACCTGCATGGAAATAAACTTGAACAGAACACAAAAGGTTTGTCTACACAGTTTTGGTATGTTGTTTAAGCAAATTACATTTTCCCATCAGGCTAGAACTTTCTTGGCAGCTCTGGATTAGAAATAGCCTAAAACTTTCACAACTGTCTGCTCTTAGGGCCACAGGTAATTAGGCTTATATAAAAGAAAATATAGCTGGAAATAATATTAGTAATAATTCCTTCAAATTTTTCCGAAAATGCGAAGCGACAAATCCTTTTAAATTTGATACGTGATTGGAAGTTGTGCTATCAATTCATGCATGACAATGATCATTATATATATGGAAATATTTACAATGGAAAGACCCCAATGGACATGAATGAATGAACAGTAAAAACACGGTAATTGGAGATAAACGGGACGGTCTAGAAAAGATTAATTGTAGTTAACCACAATAAATTAACTTAAAAATTTGTATGATATAAATTTATTAAAATAACCGAGAAACCAAACCTATGCTACAGTAAGACACTTAGAAAAAGGTTTTATTGGGTCGCTGTATAAATATGCCTATTAGGGTTAGGGTTTGCCAAAAAACAAAAGAGAAAGTAGCTATTTAATCTTAATTTCCTTAATCTCCACCACCCATATGCCATTTATTTTCTCGTTGTTCGGCTGAGAACTCTCTACACTTAAGAAGAGATGAAAAAGGTTTTGAGGAGATCATCAAATGACTCCTCAAACAACTCTACAAATTCGTCATCATCGTCCTTTACTGTGAGGACAGTGAGATATGTAGAGTGTCAGAAGAATCACGCCGCTAGTGTCGGCGGATACGTCGTCGACGGTTGCCGGGAGTTCATGCCGGGAGAAACTGCCGGCGCCGCCCTAACTTGTGCAGCCTGTGGCTGTCACCGCAACTTTCATAGAAAGGAAGTGGAAACTGATGCTGCTTCTGATTGTACTTCTGCTTCTTCCACTCCTACATGAAGTAAGTTTTAGTACTATACTAGATTTAAATTGGAGATCTGTATTTGGGTATGTGTTTGTACATGTTTAATTCTCTGTGTGTTCAAGAGTGGAGGTTATTAAGAAACTATGGGAAAGTTTCTAATTCCTTCTCTTTTGATTTGTATTTGGCTTTGTTTATATGTGTGAAGGTGTGACATCGTTTGTAATGAGTGAACCCTTTTTATAATAAATCATATATTAGGGGAGATAAGATATGTTTCTGTTTTGATTAGACTTGATGGTGTGTTTATCAAATTTTCTGCATGATTTTGTAGGCTGTATTATTAACTTTTAATTTTTTTTGTCTCAAATGTTTTACCTAAATTTACTAGCTGTTTGCACCATACAAAAGTAATTTTAAACTCGTAAAGAGTCAGTTAAAAAAGCTATGTTGCTTGAAAGACCTTGGATTGATCAAGATAAGGTTAGGCCGGTAGAAGAGTGAGGACGAAAGACCGATGTAAATAAGGTTTACAATAACAACGACCCAATAAAATACCACAAAGTGAGGTCTGGGGATGTAAATAAGCTTTGTTACAAATGAATGATCTAAACTGAAGTTAGTAAAAAATTAAGTGGCTTTCTTTTATCTGTTAAGTGAACCTGTGTAGTTAATTTTAGGTGATGATAAATTTTCGTTTCCTTCATCAATATAAACAGCATTTAATTTAACAGATCTCAAGGGTTTTGGTTATAAATATGTTATCAGACGTTACTATTGTTGAATTATAGACAACTTATGTTGTTCGGACTAGTCAAAATTATCGGATGTGTGTCGGATTCTCCAAAAGTAGTGTATTTTTGGAGAATCCGATACGAGTGCGCAGTATTTTGTAGAGTTTGCGCAACATAGGAAAGAACACACTATTTGTTTAATTACTTAATTATATTATATTTCAACAATCATGGTTATTATGTCACATTGAGTTACTTTTCGTTAGTCTGTATAACAATTGGTAAATGAATTCACTATATGGAAATGGAAACATGGGGTGTAAGTAGTGTCAAATTAGGCCTAAGTCTCCACATATATTTGGTTTTTCTCTTGGATATTTATCCTCAATGCAGTAAAGCCATTCCTCCCGGTAGAAATTTGTTCAAGGTATAATTCACTAATCTTTTGTTATCCCTTTGAACATTATAAAGGCATTGTTATATAACAAATGTTGTTTCAATTAGAAAACAGAAGGAAGGTGGCTGGTAAAAATGAGAGAGGTGGCCTGGAGGCATGCATTTAAGTGACAAATAATTAAAAAAGAAAGAAGAGATTTCCAAGAGACTCATGTTCAGTATATGGCATGTGGCTGGTAAGCACAAATGTCTGGAATCTCTTAGTTGGAGTTAGGTATTATGGGAAGGGAACAAAGCTTTAGGTAAGTGTTAATTTGTAATCGGGTAAGTGTCAAATCTATGAATTCATTGAAGCCTCACAGCCGCTTGTTTTTGGATTTCCACCACTTTCTTTTTGTACCCGATTGAAAACATGTCTTCCAACTTTCAATCCATTATGGGATTCTGTTTAACACATATGTAACAGTTATCTGCTTATAAATTACAGAAAAAGAGTGCCCTTTTCTACTTTTACATGATCCTTACTCCTTGCCCTACTCTAACGTCTATATTGAAAAAAGAAAAGATTTTAGGTCAAACTCAACCCCAAAAACTAGTTCAAGATGTGAGAATTGTTCAAACCATACTAAGAGACCAAGAGACATATGGAGTGTGAACAATATAAGATGAGGCCCAACATTGGGTAAGCAATAAATTGGAATGAGTCCGGCTCCGATAACATGAAAAAAGATGGACTTTGAACTTAAATCAAACCCAAAAGGTAATTCAAGATGTGAGGATTACTCAAGATCATATATGAAGACCAAAAAATCACATATTGGTTTTCTTGCTTAATGCTCAGCCAAAACTCTTCATGTTGAGTTGAATTGTTTGATGACATTCTTGATCATTCTTTGCTTTCCTAATCATTGCGAGTTAAACGACTAAAATGAAAATTCTAATCCATGTTCGTGAAATCTCAATGAATGAAAAGCATGTACTAGTTTCAAATCTACTTAATCATGATATAGTTTCTTTATATATATATATATATGTGTGTGTGTGTAGAAAAACCAGTCAAATACTAGGGAAGTCCTCCAGATGAATCAATCTCTCATGCACCTGGGCACCTTAATAATGTCAACTATGTGGACGATCAGATAATTGCTTGTCAATATACTTAAATCAAAACAAATGTTCAAAGATAGATGAAATTATCCATTGAGCTTTAATATAATTTCCTATATAGTTAGGAAGATAGGGAGCAGATTTCTCTCAACGAATTTTTTTCTAAAAAAAAAAGGAAATGAGCAAAAAAAAAAATGCTGTATTGCCATATTGTCCTACTTTCTTGTGAATCCGTCCAAATTTCAAAATTGCAGGTTTTATGTCGATACATCCCTTTATTTTGTAGGTTTTATTCAGCTTATAAAATTCAATTACTCAATCGAACTTTGACGTGAAAAAAATATACTGTATATAAAAAATAAAAATAAAAGAGGAAAAGTTCTTTCTGACCATGGAGTCTTTAAATGGGTGTAAAGACCCATCATAAACAAGAAATAATTAGTGGGCCAAATGCCTTACAATTCTACTAAGTGAATTGGGCTAATGAGCTGGATCATGAGCTATTTTTTCTAGAACGGCCTAACTCAGAGCCCAGAGGAGGAAGGTTTTCTTACCTCCTACTCTCGATTAAACTCCTGGAACTGTAATGGGATCACGATCTTCTGAGGAAAACAATTTCAGCAGATTATGGAATATTTAAAATATGGGCCTATTTTTTGGTGTCAAATCAGTTTATGCATTTTCCTGAAAATAATTTGTTCCTTTTTTGTAGGAATACTCACTGTTTTCCAAAAACAAAACATCCCTGTTCTTTTTCCTAAATGATTTTTCTTTCTTATAATTTTTTTGATATTATCTTCTGAATTTTTCTTTGTCTATTTAGAATTATTTTTTTAATCTGACTTTTCGCTAGAAAAACGTATTTTTCAATGATTTAGAGTGCATCCATTTTATATAGCTAACAAAGATTTGGCAGCAAAAAAAACGATTTTAAAAGATAATCTATACTTGTAAAATTCGCACGGGGCACCCTATTTTGGTCGTCCCATTTAATTTGTACTCAATTTTTATATTTTTCTTAACTTGTACCCACTGTTTAAACAATTTCACGCCATTTTTCCTCTTCTTCCTTCTTCTTCTTCTTCTTCTTCTTTGGGTAACAGTGATTTTATATGGTATTTGTGAACATATTTTAAGGTACTTTATGATGTGTTACGATGGTGAACTATTGTGGCGCTTTATTTTTTACCATAGCTTAGGGTTTCTTCTTTTTCTTTTTCTTAATTACAAAATGGATTCATTAGATTTATTGTTGTTTTGACAAATTGATGATTGGTGTTTGTTCTTGATGATATTTGGAGGTTATGTTTCAAATTTGAGCTCATTTGGAGTAGATTTAGGTATTAAATCGTATATTTGATTGTCTAAATTCAAATAACAAATTTTTGTTTCTAGGCAATTTGCACTTCAGTCCTATTTAGCCTTAAGTGCATGAAAACGTTGGTTGCACTTCAGACCTTTTTTGCCTTAAGTGCATCTGAAGTTCAATTTTTCACTTCAGACTTATTGGCCTTAATTGAATGAAACCATTGGTTGCGCTTCAGACCTATTTGGCCTCAAGTGCAATTTTTTCATTTCAGACCAATTTTTTTAACTTTAGACCCGATAAGTTTGAAGTTGATCGTAAAGTTGATTGGCTTGCAATTTTTTTTTTGGCAGAATGGATATAGGCTCAATTGTGACAAAAAATTGTGTGTGTAAATTCAAAAGCCCCTCGATACTTTGTCAATCATTCTTGAGTTGAACTCACTCTTTTACCACGACTTTCATTCGCTGAGTTGAGTCAAAACACTCTTTTAATTTATAGACTCATTCATCATCCACCCCCTTGTCATTACCTATGGTTTTCCTAAAATTCTGAGGAACACTAAAATAACAAAAAATACTAACTCATAGTTAACTTATTATTGAAGTAGGGTATGAGATCATTATCATTTTCAGGAAATGAAATAATGCAGGTGCGGAGCCACAAATTTTGTTTCGAATCTACATTTGTTTTATAGTAAAATTTATTAAATATGTACAAATAATTAATTGCACATTCAATAATTAAAACGAATTATGAGTTCGACATAAATTTAGAATTCATAAACTTCAAATTTTAACTCCGTCTATAAAATATCGTAATACTGAAATAACTAATAAGCATTGCAAACTGCAGAAACCATGTGTTTTGAGGCTGACAAATTGAAAATGTTAATGAAGCAATATTATAAATTGCATATTTCCCAATTTCACAAACCTTTTGTAATTATAGACCTTTGCGTTATCTAAGGGGTAGCTGTGGTCCTCACACAGTGATGGGCCTTCTCTTTTCAATATTGTTACGTCTTTCCTCTTTCATTTTACCCATAAAAGGCATCGAAGAAACAGCCAGATCTGCAATTTTGTTGTGCTTCAAAACAAGCAAATCCACATTCAAGACCTAACTCTAATCATGACGTCTCTCTTTGTTTAGCCCTATTATTTTTATGACATTTGTCCTACTCCTCTTTTTATTTTTCCAGGAAATTTTAGTTAGCGTTTGTCCATAAATTCCCAAATTTGTTTTGAAAAATCTAATTTGGGTGAAGTTTGGTTTGAAGATGAAAATGTGTTTGGACATAAGTTTTCAAAACATATTTCACTTTTTTTTTTGTTGAAAAACATGAAACATGACTTATACCCACAAGTTCTAAAAACTATCACAAATACCCAACAGAACCTTTACCTATAACATTCATTATATTATCACAAACTATAGCCATGAACATAAATAAATTTGTTACAAAATTAGCATTTTTATAATGAACTACATAATACACCATCAGATAACTGAGGAGACGAAGTAGCATTATTACAAAATAATAAATGGTGGGCTTTTTTATAAAATACAAAAGTTTGAGGCAATTTTTAATAAATGTAATAGTGGTATTTTGGGCCAAAATAGCTCTTGAGCTGGGATTTGGGTTATGGTTTTGGAGAATTTGCCAAAATGTAGATAAAATCTATGGTCAAACATATATTCGCCAATCAATTAAGCATATTTTA